GATAGATAGATAGATAGATAGATAGATAGATAGATAGATAGATAGATGCAGACTAAAGCCAGACGATATGTTTTCATTTAAATCTATATTTAAATTCGGCCTAATTATGTTGGGCATGAAAGAGATGCAGTTTAACCGCATGGCCTAAAAGCAAGACAGGGAGGTTGGCTTTGTTGTGTGTTTGTGTTGCGTTTCAAAGGTGTGAACAATCTGTCCCCACACATGCAGGAAGGCTTCAGCCTTGTCCAGCTCAGCTGCTCTAAAGAAAGCTTTAGCTTTTTCTCAGATATCCCAAGAATTTGTATAACAAAAACACAGCTTGAGGTCACTCCTCTACTTCCCAGAAATGTGTTTAAAGGAGGCTGACTTACATTGATGTCCAGACTGCAGAGGCTGAGGGAGTCTGCATCTCTGCTGGCCTGCTTTCTCTTCTTCTGCAACACAACAGAGAGAAAATATCACAACTCTGGGTGTTAATTGTTGCATTCGATTCCAAATCGAATCAATACCCTCATGCACAGTTTGGAAGTATAGTTCGTAGTGGTTCTCTGCAGCTTTGTGTTTGTTATATTAAAGAAAATTCTGATAAAAAAAAAGGCCAAAGCTGACATCTCAAGTAAGAAACGCAGATATATCATTTTTAATTATGTATGCATCATACTTGATAGATAGATTTCTGAGACCTATTGCATCATCATATAGTAAAAACCTTAGTTAAAAAAGTTATATAGAGTATTTCATTTGACAGCATTTTATTTTGCAGCAAAAGCATGCAGAATGCATTCTAAAGTTTTATATATATATATATATATATATATATATATATATATATATAAATATATTAGGTCAATGGGTCATGGGGCTGAGAGGGAAATAATTTTGTTGCAGATAATTATAACTTAAAGCAAAGTAAAAGTCCAAACTTCAAAAATGTGTAAAATATAATACCACAAAATCGGCATGAAATGAAAATACAGTTGAGAAAAATAGATGAAATTAAAAAAAATTAGCTTTTGAAACATTTCAGCAGCTGCATTTGCATCTGACCTGTAGCCCACTTTCCTATTAAAACTGCTCTCTGAGGCAAAGACCAGGGCAAAAAATAAGGAAGCAATAAATAAAGAATACGTATGACTGTATACTTAAACCGTATTCATGTCATTTCCTGAGTATGTCTAACCCTTTTCTGGTTACCATGGTATCGATTATTTGTTTGCCCGTATTTGTTTGCCTGGGCAGGTGCAGCGGAGAGAGAGAGTGAAAAACAGTTCCTGTCCACTGCAACGGTGACAAAAAGAGGAAGAAACGAACCAAAACACTTGATTAGACAAGGGCTGAGGAGTGGAAAGCAGAGGAGGAAAAAGTGGGGACGGCTAAAAGGGGGAGGAGAAAAAAAAAGGGGAGAAGAAGAAGGACGTCGGGGTCGGTACAATAGCAGGAAGCCTGCTGTTTGTTCAGTATTGTGTTGAGACTTTGTTGTTGTCCGGATGTTGCACAACTTGGCAGACTTTACCTTTAACTCACCACCGCTGTAGAAACCACCAAGGAGGTCCTCAAGCCCTGTAGTCCATATAAGGTCACACTATTTCCTCCCAAAAATCTCAGATATTGACAAACACACCGAGCCTCTTGTATGATGCTTTATCTAATCAGATTTCTCTTTTTGTGTTTATATGACGATTCAATCAACAGGTTTTGGACTTCTGGTGTTAAAAATATCTGACATTGTTTAAAAATGAGAGAGAAAAAAAAGCTCCCATCTATTAGTTCCTGTCTAACATAATCGCAGGAATTCTCCGCTTTTATTCCAACTAATTAAATTTCCTCTCAATCTTCAGGGAGAAGCGAATTTGTGCAGGACAGAGTGTGAACACCTGTTTTCACTTTCACTGAGAGCGGACTCAGAGATCAGTGGCTTCCGTCCTCAAACGGGGCTTTGTTTACAGGTGAGGATGCAGGTGGAGCCGGGGCTGCCCTCCTGAAGAAAGGCTTTCCTCTTCTGCCGGTGGCAAAGCAGCATCACTGTCCGAGGTCACTCCATCCCCAGTTTCATTTAGGCTTTCATCTGTGGCCTCTCGCTTGTGGAAATGAGACCGGGCACGGAACTAAAATGCTCCGTGCTGCCTGATGGTCGGCTGCTTGAATCCTCTAAAATCTGATCAGTTGCCAGCAACTTGCACAAGTAAAGAAAGCTAGGATTTTGTACAGATGAACGTGTGGATGATTAAGTCGCCAGGAAAAATTGTCTAGAGAGAAATACACATTTTCTGTTTTTTTTTCAAGAATCTCTGTTTGTGTTTCTGTATCTCTGTCTTTTCCTTTGTCAAGTTTCTGCTCGTGGATCCACATTCCACCGTTTTTAACATTTTCTTTCCTTTCTTTAGGTCAGACTGAAAGGAAAAACATTTTAAATGACTAATTTGAGATTTTTTTTTTTTTTAAAGAGCCCAATTTTCAGTTTCTGTGACTCTTTATTTTCAAGAGGTGCAGAGTTTGACACGTAACCTTTAAAAACTTCTAAAATCAATGTTACCCACTTAAATACGACTGCATTTGTATTAGACATGAATAAGCCCAAACTTCTGCTGGGTATATGATTATTATTCAAATGTGAAAAATCAAGACGGAGCCAAATGTTCCTGTCCCTCTAAAGGGGGGAGCGGAGGTGTAGGACACGGTGTTCTCCAGTGCATCAAAGTCCTTTTGTTTTCCTTCAGATCCTGAATGCTGTCCTGTTCAGGTGGGGGCCACAATTTCCTGCCGACTGACAAAAACAATGCTGAGAGGACATTGGGTCTTTAAGTCAACCTCTAAATGGGAGATCCTGAATTGAGAAGCTGTACTAGTTTGGTTATAAGGTAACGTGTTACTGTTTTTATAATATAAACTCACTGAACAGTTAAGAAAATATATGAATGAGATCATTAAATACATGCATTCATAAGAGATTTAAGTATTAAGTGACTGAAGCTGAAAAAGTAAGAAAATTGTCACGAAAAGAGCTAATTGTGACTGGAAATGGAAATCATCAGGTTAAGACAAAGAGCAGCAAACACGTCGCGCTCGGACTGTTTTAGGGTCAGGATGATTATCCAGGGACGCACTGGACATCCAACTCACCCGGTAGTAAACAAACAGACAGCAACCCATCATCGGGATCCGATTTGCTCCACAAAGCGTTCACGTGTAGATTAAGCTCTCTCTGCTCCTCCTCCTCTTCTGTCCTCGTCTCCTCTACCTCCAGGTCAGCTTCTTTTTTTGGCTAAAAGTCACATCAGCTCTCCTTTTCTGCTCCCCTTCGGACGCCAGCCAACAGCAGAAGTCACCTCTCCCGTGTTCCCCTCACCTCTTTTCAGCCACCCGCTTCACAGTCACATTGTATTTCCCCCTCCTCTGTCTCCTTTCAAATGGACACTTTCCTCTCCAGTTTGTCCTCTCCAGGTCTTCTCACTCCTTCTTCTTCCCTCCACTGTCTGCTCTCCTCCTGCTTTCTGCTCCTTCACAGTCTTCTCGGCTTCACCACCTTCCTGAGTGGATCTACAGACCCTCAGGAACAGGAACCCTTCACAATGTGTGTGTGCGTGTGTGCGTGTGTGGTAGGGTGTGTGTGTGTGTGTCCACTCAGTTCCCACCGGACAAACAGGAAGTGGCGGCCGTCAGGGGGAAACAACTGTCTATAATTAGGAGCTACAGGAGACACTGTGACACTACAGGTAAATATGCTGGTGGGAGAACAGAAATAACCCTCTTCTATAAAAGATGTGGGAACGAAAGAAATTGTAATACAACAATAGTTTGCCAAATATGGGTGAATTCCAATTGTTACAGTTGAAGCGGTATTTGATGCATTCAGAATATCAGAAATAAGAAACTATTTAAGTCAATATAACCTTTAAGAGTTTTTTTTTGTATTTATCAAATGGATACGCAAATAATATTTGATGGATTATGTATTCGCTGACAGTCAGCACAGTCAGACCTTTCATAACAGTAAAAAACTGATTAAGAATAAAAAAAAAAAACACCTTAAAACTAACAGTCATACAATATCCTTTTGATAAATGTCCAGGGACTAGATTCAATTAACAAAGAAAACATAGATAATATTTAAAAATCAAGGGCATTCAAAGATGACAAAGTATAATAATTACAACTAAAAACTCTTGGACACCAATAATTTTTTAAAAGAAAAAACCAATCAGTATCTGTTAATTAAAGCTGAATGAACAGAGAATGACTCTTTTGGTACCAAGTAATTTTCTGTTTTAAAAAAAAAAGACATTTACTCTTATAATGGGACGATTTTCAAATTTTGTAAACAACAAATAAAGTCATTGCAGCAGATCTACAGACGGTGATCATACCGGTTGGGTGCATTAAAGCTCTGAGGCTCTACACAAGTTTAACCTGAGCATAAACTTGGACTAAAGCGCCATTTTGACACCCTGTGTGCACACCATCCTTAAACCCCAGGATGTAGTACACACACCGCACAGTGTCTGAAAACCAAGTTTCTACGCCCCAAATATAAAAGACAGATGTGCCAAACAAAGTATACATTTTAGGCTCTGCGAAAACAAATCTTGCAGACACATCAAGTTCAAGTTTGAAAATGTTTTCAAACTAGACTTTTTTTCCCCATGTCATAACATTTCAAATAGCTGGAGTCATATTTTGGAGTAAGTGCGGTGTTTTGGAGTAATGAAGACTTGCACGTACCCCTCTGAGGGACCAGCCATCGGGAGACAGGAGAGAGAAGGAGGACGATTTCTCTCTGAAGCTGCGACCTGAGGAGGGAAAGAAACAGAGGTGAAACGTGTGAAAGAGGGAAAAAAAACAACTGGTTCAACTTACAATCAACGTTGTGAAAGCAATTTCAATGTTAAAGGACCATCCTGAATGGATTATAGGACAGAAACACATGCAAACCATCATGATACGAATTTAAATAAGCCTGTAGCCTCAGTTCTCACATACCTGTGCCTTAGTTAGATAAGGTATATATATACGGTATATATATATATATTTATATATATATATATATTTTTTTTTATTTTTTTTTATTTTTATTTTATTTTATTATTATTATTTTTATTATCTATCTATTTTTCTATTTATTTATTTATTATATTATATATATATATATATATATATTATATTTATTTTAAATACTAATTAACTCAAATATATCTACTGTTGTATACCTGATGGACTTGGTATTCTATATTTAGTTTCTATCTTACTACTAATGATTTTACTCTCCAGATTGGCATGACTCCGGTTCTTATGCCATACATCGATGTGTGTTTTGCTTTCATCGTCTTCAAACCTCTGATTTAGTTCAGTTTTTTTAGGCACTGCACCTGAAGGAAAAGGCCTTTTTAATATGAGACACACATGTAAGGGTTATGGTCTACATCAGCATCTGGGATAAGGAGTTGGGATTTACGTGCAGCTGGACAGACTCAACTCCAGGACTCTCGGGGAGAAGGAGAATCCCTTTTGTTCAAGACTGAAAAGTGCTTCACCTGGTGGTTTGTTCTGGTCAGTGCACGCTGCAGAGCCTCAACCAGAAGCTCCACTTCAAAAAGTTCATGGAACATCATTCAAATATTGACACATTCAGCAATGACATACAACACAGATCTGATTACAATGTAAAAAAGACACCAATATCTTTTCAGGTACACCCTGGACTTTTTTTTCTTTTATTTTGTTTGCCAATTCATTGGCTCTAACTATAAGACATAATGAATCTGCATTCAACAATATTTTCTTCTCATCAGCTTCTTTTGATTAAATGACTAGTATTTCCGCCTCTGAATGTTTTTATTGTTCCTGATGATCTTTAACTAACAATGCTGACCTTTTATACATTTTAGTCTGTTAGTTTTTTTGTTTATCTGTTTATCACTTAGATTTGATTCAATTCAAATATTGCAGTGTGAAACGAGTCAGATTAACTTCACATTTATAGGATTTGTACAAATACACAAACACAAGTTTAGTCACCATAAATTAGAACCACTTTAGACATTTTTATGCAAGATACTCATGTGTGACTAACAAAATGACATTACATGAACCTCATTAGTATGCTTTAACCTAAATATTTATTCAGATATAGTTAATATCACAATTTTGTCACATATTATTATAATGAGATCCATTATAATGAGAGAACAAAAAAGAGAAAAAGCAAAACTACACAGTCTAAAAGAAAGATTTCTAAAGCGAGTTGTGCACAGCAATCAAACTAAAATATTAAAGATATCATCACTTTTTAATTCTTTGTATCTATGAAGCTGAGTTCTCTTCGGCCTGCTGTTTGAAACACGCTCACAGCCTGATTTGAGACTCCTCCGATGTTTTTCTGTTTTTCACTCATCACACAGAACGGCAGCCTCCCATTATTCCCCGGCCCTGCTGTCATCGGACAAGCCCAGACAACGCTCAGGGCCTCCGAAAAAACGGCTTCAGACGCGATAAGAGCAGCGAGGAGTCCTGGGACTCCTTCAACACGCCCTGATCTGGTGAAGTCATTCTTATCTGCGCGTGATGCTGATTAAACCTACACTTCAGTTTAGCTCTGGCACAGCTGTAAGTCACCACCATAAACATAAACAGCTGCCTCACACCCCCTCCGCTCTGATGAAAATATTCTTGGTTGAAGCAATAAGATCACCAAAGTCGTGCCAGAGGAAGGTTTGAACTACATATGCTGCTGGGGGGAAAATGAGGAGCAGCTGTGAGACAATCTGAACTTATCTCTGGTTCACACAAGAAAATGAGTTTTGGTCAATGGAATATCCTTTTTTGTTCTTGTCATACTACTAAAGGAAATTTGAGGACTTCCATTTATGTTTTAGAAGAAGATATGAGATCAATTTAAAGATTTATAAAGATTTTTTTTATGCTTATGACAAAAAAAACACATTATTTTTGTAGTTTTGCAGCTTGTCCTTCGTCCTCTGCCGCTTTTTTAAGTCTGAACTGCGTTTGAATGCCTGACTCACTCATTCCAGGGAGTTGCTTTTTCTAAAAGCACAATTCAACCCACCCTAGATGCTCGCGCACGCTCACATGCACACGCGCACACGTGTTTCCAGAACTTCAGAAGACAACACTTGGGCTGAACACACACTACGGGCTTTATCCCCACTGCACGGCCAAAGCAAGACCGGGAACATCTTTCTAAGATCTTTAGATCCCCAGGACTTTGTGCAGAGCGGATCAGAGGTGTGTTTGGCTGCGGGCTTCTTTCCCCCTCACACTCCATCTGCTTCTAATACTCCATCCCTCTTCCAGCATCTGCCTTTTTCTCAGCACACATTCAGTTTTACTCGCTTCACTGTAAGCAAAACCCGAGAAAAGGAATCAAACATGTTGTCCAAAAGAAAAAGCATCCCCGAAAACCCAGTTGAACCGCTCATTCTGGGCCATGGAAACAGTCTCTAATGATTTGTCGGGCTGCAGAGAACACTCCACAGGGGACGAATGTTTACCAAGCAGCAACTAAAAATAGTTAATAGGAGAGAAAATGCACTTTTTCCCTCAGTTTAAATGTCATGAAACGACCCACAGTGGGAAGGAACCAAACCAAACTCTGTTCATGATTATGGATCTGATTCTGAGACCCCAAAGTCTGCAACCACTGAAAGGAAACATGTTTTTTTAATTAACAATGATATAATTAAGTGGAGATTCTTTAGTGAATTACAAAAATTCAACAGTGAAGCATTCTGTGGAATTGAAAATTAAACAACCAAAACAAACTTCAGGCCACAGATCTACAACTTGCAGAGGAATTGAACCATTTTTCTTCCTTAAAAACAGCAGTTATCTCCAGCAGATGGGGAGATATCATTTCCTGCCGAGGAAAAACACGGTCTGGGGGCATCGTTCAGGAAACGGCAGAGGAAGCGTTGCTCCGCTTGTAAAAGGACGAGTTCAAATAAAAAAAAATAAAAAAAATTAAATGAAGAGTTACGCTAATTTTCATGGAAGTTTCGTTTAGAGACTTGGCCACAAAAAAAAAAGTCCCACACTAATATTTAATTGGCTTTATTTCCATAGGCTCAATAAGCTTCTGCAATGTGGCAAGACTTATTTCCATCCAGTGCTGCATTTATTTTTCACAAAGATCTCGTGGTGAAGATGGGAGAGTCCAGCCGCTGCCCAGAGCATCTCCAGCCACCCCAGAGATCCTCAGTGGGGTTAATGTCCGAAAAGGACAATGTGGAAAAAGGTGTTATAGGTTGTTTTGTTTAAAAGACAACAAATGAGGGGCAATGCGTTGTGCTGTGTGAGTGATACACTCACACACAGACACAAGTCACGAGGCATGACTATAAACACGGTCAAAAGCTAAGAGGCATGGAGAAGTATGGGTTCGGCTCCAAGAGATCAGGAAAACCGGTTATCCCCAGAAAAAAAACGCTTTAAATGGAGCAACATGACAGACACGTCTGCAGAAAAAATGCCTCCTGAAACGTTGTTGGTGGAAACTGATGGTTAGTTAAAGAGCAAATTCCAGAAAAAAAAACAGGCCCCTCTCACCTGGACAACATTTCCATTGTTACCTAACAGCAGCAGAGCCGCATTCCTGCAGAGATCAGCAGTGAGTCACCCAAGAAATCTGCTCATTGGGCTGTACCAGCACATCCTTGCAGGGGCTCCACGGGTGTGGTTTTAACCGAATTCTTACGCTCTAAAAATACAAAAAAAAAGAGGCTTTCTTTCCTCCCATTACTTCTCAAATTCACTGAAAGTGAAAACTGGCAACAAGGAATTACCCGATTAATTACAAACACATTAAATAGATCCCCACTGAGCCTCTATTCAGAGTGGATCTAATTCATACGTTAACCAAAAGTCACTACAGCTCAATTTGAATTATTCAGTTTTAGACCTGAGCTCATTTTGCAATTTTCTTTTATTTGCAGAAAAAAAAAAAAGAAAAAGCCCAGAGTGACAACTAATCACAGCCTGTTTCGTCCAACAAAAAAGAGCACAAACTAAAGTAAAGAGAGCAGAATTGTTGTGAAATAAGAGCTTTTTTTCCGGCCAATATGCTCACAGTATTTCAATACAGGCACGTTTGAACCAGCAGGCATCTGAAAACTTCAGCTTTCTTTTAAAAACCTGGTGAATTTGGATTTAAGAGCAAACAATAAAAAACGCAAACTGCTATATCTGTAAGGCGGAGCTATTTTATCCATCTCCAAAAAGGGAGTTAAGAAGCATATCATGTGACACTATCATAGAAAAGTGAGAATCAAAATCTGAGACACTCCTTCTCATCTGTAATCTCCCTCCTCAGTTACCTCCATGTATGCCTGTAAAGTTTTAAAACTCAGCAGAGAATTGTCAGAGGTGTTGGCGACCACGTCTATTGCCTTCCTTGACCACTTTATTAGCCAATGAACTCACAGATCCCATGATAATCGAAGGAAGAAATTGTTTGCATTGCCTCCTCATTTCTCTCACTTTTGCTCAAATCTTCTATGATAGACATCTCCTCTTAAATTCATCCGCATCTGGAGCCTTACTCCAGTTATTGCCCTGGCTTTTGGCGAGCTCGGTGAGCTGATCCCACACCAAAAACACGCCCATGGTTATGGTTTCCAGGGGCAAAGCACCCGAACCCAAACCAGCAGAGAAACAACAAATGTTTTAAGAAACTGTTTTCACTGAGAAAAAGTGGTAAATGTTAAGAAGGCACAAAGCAATATACGCCTCCAGCTGCTGCAACAAGTACACAATAAGCTACATTTCAGGTAGAGGAACTATGTCGGCCCTTCACTTGGGCTCAGACATACCAACATTGTGCAGCAGATTATGGAAAGAGGTCCCACCGGGAGTTTAGGGCCATTAGGGAGCAAGAAAATGAGACATTCCACTCGTCAGGACGTAAAGCTTTAAAGAACTTCTGGACTGGAAAATAAAGGTTCCCTCCGCATTCCCCTAACCTCAATTAAACTCAACATTTATGCTCCTAAAATCCAACATGCCTGACAGAAAATATGCTTAAAGAGTGACAGATCTCACTCATTCACCATCATACAAGCTAAATGAGGTTTGCTACACCTGAATACAACACTTCAAACGTGATGCTCATATCGCAGTAGAGTAGAGATTTAGTTTCTCCCAGGGCACCGTTCTCACTGAACAACAATCCAATCTCACGGATGATGACATGAGGCTGAGCTTGAGGGTTAGGGCTTTGGGAGGACATATTGAGAGCTTCAAAACACCCTCAGGGCAAAGAGGCCCAGGCAAATACAGAAGTATGACCACTTGAGTGACTGGTCGTCTTAGTGAGGACCACATTTACTCATAAGGCAGAAGTAGATGTCTGGTCTAAAGGTGTTAGGTCAGTATTAGGTCTCAGATTGGACTCTTCATGGATAAAGGAGTGCAAACACGTGTGTTAACGGAGATTATACGTCACTGTGAGTCAATCATGTGACTCATAAGGCAGTAATAAAACTTTGGCAACTTTTTTCTCTCTTATTCACTGTGTGTTTTTTAGACATACTGCAGAAAAACCTCAGCGAGAAGTGTGTTAAAGCCATGTTTTCAACCATTAAGCGAAGTTTCCTTTAATTCTAACACAAGAACGCCGTTTTTAAAAGCTGAATTCGCCTGGAAAAGGCAACTTTACGCACCGCCGAGCAGCTTTTTTTCCTCACCTTGAACTCCGCTGACATCCATCACCTGCCCGCATCGGAGCGCGGCTCCTCCCAACCAACCGAAAAAAAAGACCCACGGACAACTGGTAGGAAAAGGCACGCACCAAACAGCTGCGTCCAGCTGCGTCCAGCTGCGGGCAGCGCGCGGCTGAGCGCAAAGAGGGAAGCCGCTTCCTCTGGATAAGAGCAGAAAAAGTCTCCCCTTTAGCGCAGACACTCTGCAGAACAACTCTTTTAGAGTCGCTGTGATTCACTTATCCTTCTTCCTTCCAACGTGAAGCTCCACTCACAAGCTCCCCCACTTCCGGATACACCTTCAAAGCAAAGCATGGGCTCTGTTTACGTAGAAAATGACTCAAGAGGCTACGAGGCAACTTTGTATAGTTTCTGATCTGTAAAGTGGTCATGAAGAATTGGATTATCCAACAAGCGAGTCGTTTTTGGAAGAAAAAGGATACACATTTGATCCTGGGATCATAATGCTAACACCACTGGGCATCAGAATTAATTAAAACCTGCTTTTTTCCCTCTGAAATGTTCTTTCATTTGCAGGAAAAAGAAGCAAATCAACAAAAGACCAGTAGTTTTCTTTAGTGACTTTGACTAAAGTTGTCATCAGAGAGATTGGAGCTGTAATGATCCAGACTAACACTGAATGTGGAGTTTTTGCACAACCAACAAAAGATGTGATTTTACCTCTCAAACACAAAGTTTTCTGAATAAAAGATAACACAAATCCCAGCAGATGAGAGCATCATCACCAAATACATTAGTATCTTAATGAAAGCAACTTAAAAAAAAACAAAAAAACTTTACCTTACACAATAAAAATGATGGGATAAATGTTTACATCTATGTAGATTTTTCACTTATGATTAAATAGAAATGTGATTGCTGTAATTGCATATTAACTGATTAACTTGCATATTATTTTCCACCTTTGACTGCAACTTGAGACACATTTCTATTCTTTTTTTGATAATTTGATGCCAGTATAATATATATGTGTACAGATTTGCCTTTATGAGTTCTTCTCCTTCTCAGGATCACTTAACCGGCCTGTGGGGCTCCCTGATGGTCTTATTTTGGAGCCGACTCATTTCCGGACCGGTTGACTGCACCCATGAGCCTGTGTGAGTTTTGCTGGCCGCTGTTGTTTTAGGCGGTGATGCCTCACAGCTCACACACTATGGAGCTGTCTGCCGGCCTTTATGTCACAGAGGTGTTTTACTTTGAGAAACCAAAACCTGTTTGTCAGCCTGCAGCAAACGATGGAGGATTAGCAGCCGCAGAGCGGTTGGAACACTTCAGAGTGCTCCGGTGCCTTTCCATACGTCTCCATTCGATGCAGGACTGCTCAAACTAAAGTGTAGACTCATAGGAAATGAGACAAAAGAGGAAAAGAATACAGCTTCACAAGATAGATTTATTTACTTTACCGAACCGAGGTACTATAAAACATTACATTTCTAAAAAAGAAATGGATGAAAATGCTAAAAATATCAAACTATACAAATCCAAATCAGTTCATTTCCAGGTACAATAATATTTACAGGTAGGAAATGTTGAATTTTTCCTTCTGACAAACACAAACCTGCAGACAAAGCAGAGCAGAAACTTTAACATTTAAGTCAGAAAACAGACTTTATATCAAGATTAAAACAGTTTTGTTTAACCGAAGAAACAATTGTAGACTGAATAACTGGCAGTCTCCTGTGATTAAAGTTAAACACGGATATTATGGATAAGAAACTTAACTACATCCGGAAGCCCATTTCTGTCAGAAAAAGATGGATTAAAAAAGATAAAAAATATATATTTATATATAAACTTGAGTAAAAAAATATCACAATCTCTGAATTTTGACCTAAAAAGTAAACGTTTGTATTTACACTCTCCTTAGTCTAGCTTTTAAAACGTAATCTTTCTGTCAGAAATTAACAGTCTCCTCTGAAATTATGCCCTCATCTTTGCTGCTTTACAAAATCTCACAAAAAGTTCAGATTTATTTGAAAAAATGTGGTAAAAAATCTGTCATTAATAATGCCTTCAAATCTTAACTATACAACCAAATCAATTTCATTGTATTCAGTCATTGTTATGGTCCAAAATCCTGAATTAATATGAAGAATAAACTAACTTTGTTTCACTTAAATTACTCTTCCATCATATTTTAATCAGATTCTTCAAAACAATTTCTGACTGAGATTTTGTTGTTGTGTTTGTTTAAGCAAGAGACACCCTGCGTCTAAGACTGAATCACAGTTGACAAAAAACAAAAAGAAAAACATTTCTTTGCTGGAAAAATTCTTAAATAAGGGATGCTACTAAGAGATGTGAAAACTCAAAGTAATCACTGATGAAATAAAGCATTTCTCTCAAATAAAATGGCACATTTTAAGGAAAAAAATCTAACTTCTTCAACCAAAGCAAACACCAAATTATTAAGTTTCGTTGGTTTCAGTCTTAAATGTATAAAATAATACAAATAATATTGCAAAATAACTCCTGTTGGCATTGTAATGTTGTAATGGCGTCCTTTAGGTGTCGATAAGGCCCCCAGCTTTTGTTTTGGTGTTGCTGTTGTGGGTTTCTGGGTCTCGAATGGCTGAACCAACCACAAATGTCTGGACAGTTTTGTCTCTGCTTCGCGTTTCCATGCTGAGCATCAACCCTCTTTGGTTTGAGCTGATAAAAATCTGTAGGTGTCCGGTCCTCGAGCACTCCTCCAGAGTTCTGGATGATGAGCTTGGCACTCAGCGGGTCCCACAGTTACAACAAACCTGTGCTTATTTCATTTAAATAAACAAGGGGATGAAGGCTTCAAAACTTCGAAAACTGTTTCCCTGGTGCAGCCCCCTCCCTTTAACTATGACCGGCTGATAAAAAGACCAGGAATCTGCACCTCTTTGCCTTTTGGACACTTTTTTTTAAACCACTTTAACTTCTGGCTGTTTTACCTGATGCTCTCGGCTGAACATACTAGTGTACGAGTTCTTATCCAAGTTTTTCTTTCTTTTGATTTTGAATCGTGGGTTCAGATTGGCCTTGCAGGGGAGATCCGCCATTTTTGTTGCTCGTTTTCTCCCGATTATGCTCCTTGGTTTGTGCATTTTCCTCTTTGGCTCATACAGTTTTCTTTGCCGTGTTGGCTTTGGCTCTCCCTTAACAAACTGTGTCTTTCTGCTTTAAAAAAGTAACTGAAAATTAGATTAAAAAACTCTTAAAACTCTCTCCTTATGTTTCCTGTCGGGGATACACCTTCTCATACCCAGACTAGCCATGTGATGTAACATTTAGCTTCAGTGGTTGCCATAATTACTATGAAGTGGTTTGACCATAGTTGTGCCCTTTTATAATGTTCGAGGGGTAAAATATTACCAAAATACCTCAGACTACACCTTAACAGCCCAGTGGTGAGCACCCTTTCCCTTTTCCAAAGCCTTTGGATTCTTCAGTTTCAGTTCATAGGACAATGGCCCCTGCGTGTGCAGTGCTTTCTCTTGGCCTTAGTGGCTGGTCCTCTCCTGCTTTGGCTCGGAGCTCCCCTTATGATGATGCTGCCTGCGTGTTGCCGTGCTCCAGGTGACGGTGGGGGTGCAACTCTGCTTTGCAGACTCTGGCGGCGCTGCAGAAGAGCGAGGCCACAGCCGGCGGCTCCTCGTCACCTGAAAGGCGAACGGACGGCCCGTTTCATTTAGAAAAAGCGTTTCAATCTGCTTTTTCACGAAAGAGCACGAAACGAGACCAAAGCATCATGGACTTTCGTTTTGAGGGAAAACACATCTGGTGAGGTCTTACCCAGCCCGGAGGAAGACGATTCACTTTCCGCCAGGGAGCAGGAGTCTGCCTGGTCGTGTGACAGCCCCTCCATTAGGGGAATGGACAGCTCCGAGGAGGGGACGGACGAATCGTAGATGCCTGAGTCGCGGGGAGGCGGGGCCTCTGGAGCGGAGGAGTGGTCCTCCTCAGCGTGGGCCGGGACGGGGCTAACTCCGTCCCGCAGAACCGAGGGAGACCCCTCAGGTATTTCACCGAGGTCAGCTCCAGACGTTCCAGCTGTGGGTCTGCGGGAGATAAACAAACGAATGGTCTCACGTCACCTTCTCTATTGACTAGAACAGTGTTTTTCAACCACTGTGCCTCGGTACACTAGTGTGCCGCGAGTGATGGTCAGGTGTGCCGTAGAAAATCATCCTATTTCACCTGATTGGTTTTAAAAAGAATTTTGATAAGGAATTATTTTTCTGCAAATAATATGGCATTTTTGAGTGTCTGTGCTGTTCTAGTGACTGGTGGCGTAATCATGTAATAATTCCTTATGACTAGATTTTGTATATAATTTTGTATATTGAAGTGGACATGTTAATTTGAAAGAAGAAATATAAAATATGATAAAAATACATGTTTGTGTTTATTTGATTCCTATTCAAGACACTTAAGATAAGATAAGAATAACTATAGCGTTACTATAGGCGGCTACAGATTTTTGGTTGGTGGTGTGCCTCGTGATTTTTTTCAATGAAAAAATGTACCTCGGGTCAAAAAAAGGTTGAAAAACACTGGACTAGAATACAGAAAGGGGAAATGTCTGTACTGATCACAGTAAAAAAAAAAAAAACAGACCAGAAAAAATAGTCCCTGGACTCTTACCTCGAGGACAAAGGTGGCAAGTCTGGACTGGGACAAAGACCGGGACTGGGACAGGGTCCCGTACTGAGACTGGGACTTGGCCCCGGGTTGGAGCCGGAACTGGAGTCGGGGGCCAGTAGGAGCACGTTGTGCTTTACATCTGCTCCCTCTGGTGACGGGGTCCTGACCATCACCTCATTCAGCACCAGGCCGGAGTCGAACCTCTGCTGGTGCAGGGAGGAGCCGGCCGGTTTCGGGGGGGGGGCGGGGGGCTGGACGCTCGGGGGAGGAGGGGGGTGGGGGGGTTTGGAGGGGGGGGTCCGGGGGGGCGGAGGACGCTCCCGCCGGGGGAGCCGGCTGCTTCTCGAACCAGTCGGGATTCTGGCACATGTACTGGTGCATGTTGCAGATGGAGACGTAGAGCGAGCGGCCCGACTTGCTCCTGAAGTAGTTCCTCCTGGAGACGTTGACGGGCGTCTGCTCGTGCTCGCCGAAGCCGGACGGGCCCGAGTGCAGCAGGCTGAAGAGCTGGGGCAGCTGGTCCATCAGCTTGAACCTGAGAAAAAGAAGACAGAGCTCATCAAACGGCGACTGACCACTCCCAGAAGGAGCCGGCGTGCGCAGGGTGGTGCGTCTATCTAACCCTAACCCTCACCCCAGCTTCACCGGTTACCCCCGGTTACCACTGGCTCCACGCATCAAAACCCAACTCCCTGATGCTGGCCTACAAAGTGCTTAAGGGGTTCTGCTCCCGTCTACCTGAACCCTCTCTCAAAGACTCCTGTCTCAGCTGGTCCCTCCGGTCATAAGTGAGTTGTGGTCCACGTTAAGACGGTCCAGACTGTTTTCAGCTGTTGTTCCAAGATGGAGGAAGGAGCTACCAGGTCTACCAGAGCAGCATGTCCCTGTCTGTCTTCATAAACTCCTACAGACCCACCTCTCCACAGAGCAGCTTCTATCCTAACTCTTCCAGACCTCTGGACCCTCTACTCCTCTTTCTGAGCTCCCCTCTATCTCTTAACAAAAGCATAAACATAAGAGCCCTTAACAGATTTTAAGCCCCAAAAAACAGCTTTAAAACCCACCAAAAACTGCTTTAAAAGCCAACAAAAACAGCTTTAAAACCCCCCAAAAACTGCTTTAAAAGCCAACAAAAACGGCTTTAAAACCCCCCAAAAACTGCTTTAAAAGCCCCCCAAAACAGCTTTAAAAACCCTCAAAAATTGCTTTAAAAGCCCCCCAAACCAGCTTTGAGATAGAGGAAGGACCTATCAGGCCTACCAGAGCAGCAGGTCCCTGTCTGTCTTCATAAACTCCTCCAGCCCCCCCTCTCCACAGAGCAGCTCCCATCCTAACTCCTCCAGACCTCTGGACCCTCTACTCCTCTTTCTGTGCTTCCCTCCATCTCCTCCTGTCTCCTCTGACTGACTGGGGTTTTTTTCCTCCAGAGAGCTGATGGTCAGACTGACGATAACTGGAACGTTGTGTCTGCTTTGTGAGTCTCTTTGGATAAAAACGCAGAAACCCTCTACCTGGGGGCCAGGCTGAGCATGGTGGGGATGTCGTTCTCCGTGGAGTAGTCGAAATAAACCGCCATGTAGCGGTTCGGCTCCTGCTCCCCGCTGTTTTCGCTCTGCTTGGCCAGCCTCAGCTTCTCTGCGATCATGGCCACGGCCGCGATGAACTGGTCGCCGTGGGATACGCCCGTCGGGGGGCTGCTGCTGCTGCCGCGCCGGCTGACCGGCGTCTTCCCCCTGCGGCTCTTCCTCTCCACGTAGTATCTGCAGGAAAAAACGGCCGGGAGGATTAGAGCAGCACAAAGGCAGAGCGTGGCTGTTTGGGAAAGGTTTAGAGGCTCTTTTTGACCGGAGAGGAGGGTTTTGTTTTCTTTTGTCATAACAAAAAATCTTATGAAACACGGTGTTTTACGTAGGCCAAGGTTTTTCAGCTTGGTTGAATCTACATTTACAATCATATTTACACATAGATTTACAATAAAGGAAAGTAAAAACCTACAGATTCAGTGTATGATAAGTCTATATACTAACATATAATAACTAAAACTAACTCATTTTATAATACGTTAGACTGGTTTAGATTCAGATATACTATCAATACAAGTTTAATATAAAAACTAACAAAACTAAAAGATTCAGAACACACACGAAAGAAAATAATCAAGAGGAAACATGACTTGGAGATCTAAATGGAGAGGAGAAAGAAAAAGGCCGTACAGAACAGAGTTTTGGAGAGGAAAAGGCACAAAGGACAAAAATTGGGGAAAATTGATGTTAAGAGAACACCGAATATAACAAGATACCCAACAGTCCAGCTTAGAATATAAATCATTATTTCCTTTATTCAGATAACCAGCTTGAGAGTTTTATCATTTAATTATATTTCTTAATGAGGTGTCGGGATCTAGTTTATTCTACTTCACTATATTGAAATGATTTTATAGTGTTTATATCAGATTTATTTTGACCTGTTAAAATGTTAAGTATTTTTTTATTTTATATTCAGCACTTTAGTCAACACCCAATGTTTACAAAGTTCTCGATGAATAAAGTTGGCTTGAACAGCCAAATACATAGTGAATAGTTGACTGTTGGCATGGAGCTCTTCATGTAATTTCCAAAAACAAAATCAGATTTTAGCAGCATCTAGTGGACAACAGGAGAACTGCAGCAGAGGGGACTTCAATCATAATTACCATAAGATTTGTGGAGCAAATGTCCTTACTTTTAAATAAAAAGGGATCCCATTGAATTAAATCTTATGAATATTAACAAGAATATGAGGAGGAGTTATTCAAAGACAGCAGTTTTTCCATGAAATGAGGCCTCAGATCAGGATCAATGAAATCCCTTCGTATGGTACAGTACAACATTTTTTAAAAATCAATGTTTCCATCTTTACATGCCATCTAACTGTTATCAACAGGGGCTTTTTTGGGGAAATGTTTTGGCCCACGTTGAAATCAATACTAAACATTCACATGAAAACAAAGTTTTGATTGATCGGATTCGACGTTCCAATAGAGTAGACGTAAAAACTCTGCAAAGATGGACACACAACAACTCTTTTCTCTGGAAATCATTAGAGATTCCAGCATCCCTTTTAGCGTCTTCGCTGTGTACAGCTCTGCCAGTATGATGATTCACATCGCTAAACTCCTCTTTTCTCCCGTCGTTTGGAAAAAGTCGGCTTAATCAGTGTCCTGTAGGAATGCGATGTAATGTCTTTTGTCTTTTTTCCTTCCATCAATTAAGATGCCGGGGGTCGGAATCGACCTATGACCTTTAAGCCATGTCTTGCGATTTGGAAGCAGTCAGCACATTTATAACACATTTATAACACATTTATAACACATTTATAACACATTTATAACACATTTATAACACATTTATAACATCACCGGATAAGGGACCGCAGGCTAAAACCTGAGCACAGCGAATAACAACTCAACAAGCGCAAATATCCGAGTCAGCAGGAAAAGGCCCGCCGTTGTGCTGCTTACCGGAGGCCTTTGGAGCAGACGATGACGATGTGGTTGGCCTCGTCCAGCTGCCTGCTGAGCCACGCCATCTGACCCTCCTTGCACATCTCCAGATGTTCCCAGAGGTCCAGCACAACCTGGGTCACAGTAAAAAAAACAGAGGCCTTTTACGCTATGTGGCGTTTTTGATTGGTCGTCCCCGCTTTTTGTGGGACGGCGGCCTGGCCTCACCTCACAGCCGCAGAAGTCCTGCAGGAAGTAGGCAAAACTCTGGATGACGCTGGTGTGCTTGGGGCAGTCCTTGCTGGAATAGCAGATGAAGACTTTGGGGCGGGGCCAGGGCCGCTCGCTGTTCAACGCCGCGCTCTGATTGGACGACTCGCTGCTCTCCTCATCCAGGTGACTGTAAATGTTTTCTGGAAGCAGGAAGTTCTCAGATATTTAGAGATCTACGAATACATTTACCATTTAAATGTCCATCCATCTTTCTACTGCATCTGACTAGAGAGTAGGTGAAACCTTCAGATTAATCTTCTCATTACCCCGAATGTCTAAAAATATGAAATCAATTCATTTCCGAGACCTTTGTCCTGACTAAGTGTGCAACTCTACAGAAAAAAAAGCCTACAAATGAATTATACTTATTCTGATAAGAAGGGAAGTCGTATGTTATGGTTGAGAGAAGGAGCTCCGACAGCTAAATGAAAGCCCAAACATCAAGGAAGGTCCTCATTGTTAATCTATTTTGCAGACTAAACCTTAATCAGAGGATTGAAAGAGTTAAAAGCCTCGTTTTGGATTAAGGTCTCAAAGTAGCAAACAGGCTTATTTAAAATGAGACGGCTTTTTTCTCACCTTGCTGCTTTTTGCGGCACATGACGGTGAAGAGGGTTGCGAAGGCCGACATGATGACCAGAGGCACTGTGATGGCCATTGCCCGGATAGGCCCCGCCCAGGGGGAGTGCACTAGGGGAGAAATACACACACACATCATGAGAGGAACCAAATATGGCTGCCGGAGCTCGTCCGTGAGCCGTTTCTGGTCATAATCTGGTCATATTCTGGTCTTATTGTGAGACGCATCTGCAGCTGTAAACTGGACAATTTCAATCACAACACAGGGCAAAATCTAGAAAAATAAATACAGATGAACGACAAATAAAAATTACTTTAGCTGAGAAAGAAAAGATGTGAAAAATAACTAGGTGTAGAAACGCCTCTCCACCATGAACTCCACTTAAATTGAACCTGAGTGGATCAGTCCACAGTGACCACATCTGGTTATGAAAACACATGCTGCAGTTTTAACTAATTCAATTGAAAGAATGCTTGTGAGCTGCCCCCTCAAACTGCTTTATAGATTTCTCTGCTGTTGGTTTTGCGTGTACGAGGCTCACCTTGGCTGACATAGTACTGCGTTTGCCTCCTGGTTGTGTTACGGTCGTCTCTGAGCTAAAATGGGGTTTAAAAAGTATTTTAAAACAATATTTAAACACACAGTAAAGCGTAAAGAGACATTATTTTAAGCTGCTTATAAAGTAAATAAGAAAAGCTCATAGCCATGCTGCATTCATGTACCTCTATAGCGTAGGTTCCTGGAGTGACATCCTGGAGGATGCATGTTGTCCTCACCTGGTTTGGGTCCTGTGAACAAATGAATAAAAAAATTGACAAAAATTAGCTGAAAACTCATTTAAACTTGCAGCTTTTCTGCAGAAATGAAAATTAACTGGGACTTTTTCTTTTTATTTCCTCTGTAATTTAGAGTGGGTGAAAGCGAGAAGTCAAATCCACAACTTCTTATTTGAGACACACATTTAGAGCTCCATATTAAAAAAACAAAATGCAACAGCAGTTCAGTTTCTGAAACAATCATAATCTTAACAAACGCAACACTTAAATTTACTTTCCGGCAAAGGAGGCCTCTTCAGTTTTACACATGGAAGGGTTTCCACATGAACTAATGTAGCACCATGAACGCCTCGGGGAAACGAGAGAAAAAGTGTGCTATGTTATCCCCGTTTGCATGAGTCATGGTCGTGAGACAACAAAGACATGAAAAGAAAGTTTCTGGAGAAACATCAAGGAGAACACAACCACGAGGGGGCTGTAACAAAAGCCTTTTCAAACCCTCCTCCAGCGAGGACACGGACAGGTAGAGGCTGCAGACGTGATGCGATATGTGGGCCAGACAAAAGTCTCTCCCTATTAGATAAAAATCAAACGTCTTTTATAGTCGTTCCAAATGACCGCAGTGGGAGGAGCTGGAGGCTGAATTTCATCGAAAGGCTGGGGAAGAAAAGGTTGAGTTAAGCCACATGTTTACCGACTCTGTGGGGAGGTAAGATGAAAAGTTTCCATATGAGGAATAACAACCAACAGATGAGAAACAAACCAAAAAGAAAAAAGAAAAAAAAAAAGAGAGCAGCTGGCCTATCGCAGTGTAAAGAAGGTGTAAATTAGAGAACATCACTTTGACGCCCAAAGAGTGGATGTCGAGAGGATGCTTGACCTGGTTTGTAATCCTGAACTAAACCAGAGGTTCTGGGTGGAAAAACAAAAAACACGAGCAGACAGTTTGCAGGTGATGATTTTTTGTGTCGGACTAGTTTGTGTGTGTGCTCCAAACAGCAGCTCAGATTACCCAGCATGCCTTTGGGTTTAAGGCTTTAATTCCCACACAGAGACAGAGACACCTGGAGGGGTCCTGATCACTACACGAGTTCTGGATTATCTGATAGAAATACCCAGGTAAAAGTCAAGAAGGCTTATAGATGTAGTTAACACGAGGTTAATGATTGATTTTGCACTTTCATCAGACCTGTTGAGTTGGTTCTGGAGGCAGGGAGGTGGGGAAACCAAATGGGTAGCGAAGCTGAGCTGATCCTGACGAGGGGTCGGGATTTTGTTAAAACACGCATAGATACGTATTTACAGAGTTGTCTAACCCTAACCCTGAACTGAACAAACAAGCCTTATATTTTAACTGTTCATTTGTAGATTTACATTAAAATAAATCATTGTACCCGTTTACAAAATATAAAGAAATTATGTGACGCTTGTCTGATTCTTTTCACTCAGGATTTACTAAAACAGAAAACATGGAGGTGTCACTTAAATTGCAGTGAAAGCGTAAAATGTATTCCTTGTTTCATATTAAGAGGGCAAAGAACATCTCCAGGATTATTAGACTAAATTCTGAATAGAAAAATGCTTGATTTCCCTAATTCAACACTCTCTGGCACCAACCAACTTACATCTTAATACTAGTTTCAGGAGAACAGTCACAAATGACTCATTACAGACATTTTCTCATGAAGCCCCTGAAATTCTAATCTTAGTTTGAATAGGTTTGTCTTGATTTTTTTTTCAAGTATAATGATCTAATATATACTTTGGAAGAAGGAGACCCTTCTCAGCTTTCATGCAGGGGCACACTGAGGGCTGTTGGGCCTACCGTTTTGCAGCGCTGCAGCCTGAAGGGCCCGTCCTGCCGCAGCTTGTAGTACAGGTAGTAGAAGTGGAAGCCGAAGGTGGCCGGGGCCTGGTCGAACGACACGTGAAGGTTTGATCCCAGCTGAGACACATTCAGGGTCTTTGGCTTCCAGACTGCAAACACAGAGACAACATTCAATAAAGAATATCGTCGAATAACAAAAATAGATTACGAGATTCCTGATTTTCCTCATTGTGTGTGTAAGTTTGATCCCATAATCGTGCTAATTCTCTTGCTGCTCAGCTAAACTCTTTTGTGAATTTACCAAACTCAATTTGTCCTTTGTTTGCACAGGAAACACCAACATAAATCTTTACACTAATGGCACAAAGACAAGAGGAAGCTCTTTTGGATTAATTCACCACAATAGCCAAGCAAAGGCATTACACAAAATCCCACTTAATCATAAAATACTGAATGTTCGCATCTAATTTAAGGTTATAAAAGGCAGTTGTTGTTTTCTTAATTAACAATAAAATGACTGAATTTTTTACAGATTTCTCATCTGACGCCAAAGTTTGTGTACTCCATTTAACAGCTTGAAGACAACTGTTATTTCCCAACACCTCGAGGCACACACCGCTTTTCCAGATCCTGCACACCTGATTAAAATGAATACGACAGTCCTCCATTTTTTTAAAGCTCAGCAGAAGGCTGATGGAGATTTAACTATTTGAATCAGGTGTGCCAGAGCTGGGACACTTTAAAGTGTAATTTTTTTTTTTTAAACTTTATTTTTTGTCACTTATTTGTCCTGCACCTACTCCTTTTCCTTAAAAGAGTCGGTGTAGGAACAGGACAGTCCACCTCTGCTGGCCAATTAGGGCAGCCAGATACAGGCTCCATGTGGTTTTGCTTATGACGACGACACAGAGGAACTTACAGGGTTTGCAGACCAGGTTGTCCGATCCAAGCAGGACTTCACACGCTGTGGTGGAGATACGCAGAGAAACCATTACGTTACGTTTGTCTTGGTCTTATATGATTTTAATGAGCAGTTCCGACTTAAAAGATAAAGAATAATTTTCCTTCAATGTGGAACTGATTTTTCATTTCGGAGAAAACATCATTAAAGCTTGAAAAGATGTTTGCATGTTGTGGTTTAGCTGCCAGTCTCCGGAGTTTGTGAGAAAAAAACTGTGCAAACACTGTTCTTTTTGGTTTAGTTTGTGTACAATTTTAGACGCTTTTTCAAATTCCAACATATTTGATTTCAGCTACAAAACCAAACAAATAAGGTAGCTTTGTTTGATGTCAAATATTGAAGGGAAGATTGTTAAGATCTGCTGGAGTCATTTAAAGTGTATTTTATATGATGGTGATTTTCATATTAAATGGGCAAAGTAGTCTGGGTGAGACTTACAGTTGGTTCGGAGGAAGGATGGAGGGAAAAAACTCTCATTCATGAGTGATGGGAAAGGAACAACCCGGACCATGTAGTCGGTGTCAAAGGTCAAGCCGCTGAAGGGCTGACTGCTCAGCTTCTGTGTGAGGGGAAAAATGGTAAATCGTTAACAAATGGACAAGTAAAGGGCCTCGTTCAAACAGCATAGATGAAAAAAACATTTAGGGATAGCAAAGAGAACACTAAGTTTTGGTCAGGCTTGAATTACAGCACAGGTCTTTCACATCAATAAAAACAGGAGAAAAGTCAGTCTAAAATACATCTAGTTCATTGTTTTTTGGGGAAATACTTCTGTACAATCCTTTGGTTGGCTGTTCAGTACGCTAAACGAACTCTCCATAATTTATTGACTATACCCTTATTTACTCTTTACCCATATCTAAATATTATTTTGTTCTATTCTCTTTTTAAAAATATTCTTAAAAATATATATTTAATAAATATCTTGTTTGGTGTACTTAACTCTTGAGGCCCACTGACTTTTAAAAGCATAAACATGTTCCATCTGTCGTGTTTAGATGTAAAGTTTGGATCCACCATTTTATATATGAGTCACATAGGGCTGCATGTAAGGGGTGGGCCCATCTTAGTCAGTTATAAGTCTCGAGTTTACTGAAACCAGTTTAATTGTGTTGGTTTGTGAAAGCCCTGGCTCTGTTCTGGTCCTACCGTGGTCCTGAAGGAGAAGTTGAGTTGCCGTGGGTCTTTGAGGATGAGGTGTTGACACTGTTTCCCTTCTGGATTCTTGTCCTCCAAATAAACTCTGAAGCCTTTAATGTGTTCAATTCCTGCAGAGATTCAACAGGAAGTTCAGTTTTTCTCCCAAATCTCTCGAGTTTTTTCCTCTACTGCTTGAAAACTTTTCTTTTCTTCCGCCCCCTCCCACATTCTTTCTTTCCCCCTTCTCCCATTCCTCTCCTCCCCTGCTTGTCACCACATTGCTCCACCTGTCCCACCTCATGTCCCCTTCCCTCCCCCTCCTCTTTTCATTTCTCCACTTCAATTCATTTCCTCCTGTCTGCTCTTTGCTTGTTTCCTGTCCTCTCCTGAAACAGTCCCACCGTTTCAATTCCCCTCACCCTCTCTCCCTCCTCCTGTTCCTCTTTGAAAACACATCTGTCTTGTAATTATACCTTCAGATGCACCGGACATGTTTTTCCTATTAGCCGAGTCAAACAGACGTGGGGTGGCAGAACAGGTTTTTCTGTCTCGAGGCAGATTTTCTGAACGCGCCTCTTGGCCTCTCAGACATGACGATCATTTGCATTTTAGCAGCTTTTGTGAGACACCAGGTGATCCACAGCTGCCTCGTCTTCAATCCCGACCACCTCCATGAGTTTACAGCTTGTGTGAGATCTTTGCATGTTCAGATAAATGAAAAATGAACAGAGAAAGAATTCCTTTGACTCCAGACGCCAAACTTAAAGGGGGGCCACAACTGAATGACACTGAAACACTTTGTTTTCAACAAAAGTGCAAATAGCAACCAGCTTTTTTTCCACAGAAAATATGGGAAGCTTCTGGAAATGCAACAAAAACCTTATTCATCAAAGCCAATTACAAACCTGATCATTTCAGAGGCTAATAGACTCCATTGTTTTTAAAGAATATGCATTTACACACTAAATAAGTTGCTCTTACACTCATGTCTACCACTCAGTTTTTAAATATCCAAATAGTTTGGCAATTATTCCTATTGGAGGTGTGTGCATGTGTGCATTCATGGTGATTCTGAGGCTCCAGCTGTTAAAATTCTAGAACAATTGTTGCCTCATTTTCCTCTTCATGGTGCTTTTGTTCATTTTTAAAAGGAGAGAGATGTGGACTGCAGGCAGAGTGAGTGAACTCACACTCTGTGTGTCTGGGTTTTTAAAAAATTCTCTCATCGTGATATATATTTGAGAAAACTCCAACATCCACCTCCGCGTCTGTGGTACCTTCACACATTTAAAGTCCCCTATCACAAATGGGGCCTCATGGCAGTCTGGAGGCTCCTCTTTGAGGTTACAGTTTTTACTAAATCAGAGGTTTTATCACAAATATTCATACTAAAAAGGCCAAATCACAAAGTTATCATTATTGTAGATGCTGTAAAACAAAATATTTAATACGGTTTAGAAATGACACAGAGGCTCTTTGTGTCATTTGTGCAGCTTCTAAGGTGAGATTGAGTCCGGACAACTGAAACAGAGGAATATGGTGATTTATGGGACAATATATTAAAAAATACGGCTTCCTCTTTGTTTAATACTGTCTTCTGATGTACCCCTGAGCCCAGGGGGCTGCATTGATCATGGTGGGATGAGGTTTTCTCATTTAGTAGTGCTTAAGGGTTCAAAGGTCATCGAACTCTTTCTGTTGCTTTTCCACAAAGACATTTACCAGAAAATGCCCAGACATGCGTTTACATGACCTACATGTAAAAAAGCTGGTTAATAAATATTTGGAAATGTCTTTCATTTTATGATTGCCCTTTAAAAAAGCCTTTAAAAATTAGATAGAATCTTTATGTAAACTTTTACTTTTCAGTGATGAGTAAGGTGTCTCAACAGCTGCCTTTAGGAAAATTCCAACTTCATCAAACCCGCTCCACACTAAATAAAAGGTTTTAGTTGGCCAGGGTCAGACAGGGTTGGGTGGAAACCGGTATGAACAAAAGGAGTAAGAGACTCAGTTAGGGCTGATGAAACATGAGCTTTCAGATTTGCCTTGTTCCCAGGCTAAGAAGAATGTCGCAGTTCCTTCATCGCTCTACAAAGACCTGATGTTTTCCTCTGTTTCCAATCTCTAGTGGAGCATAAGAATAAGTGGATGCATTCGTCCTTTCATTCATTTGAAAAGACCACATCCACTGCCTTTTTTTTTTTCCTGAGTCACTTCATAATTCTTTCCACATAAAGTCTAGATCAAAATGAATTTGGAAAGTTATTCACATAAATTCAGAACATTTTACTCTGGGTCTCTAAACATACACTGAAAATACCATCATTATGAGCACAATTATATGAACTATTGGATAAACTTCTCCAAGGAACACTTTCACAGCACTGAGCAGAAGAATTTATACTTCAGTCATTTCACTTTTAACTTAAAACATACCCAGAAAATGTCAAAATGAAAAAGCACGCTTATTAATCTCCTGAATTGGCCCTCACAGAGATGTTTGACAAAATATGGACTCCAGTTTTTGTTTCAATTAGTGAACTGTATGAATCACCCCCAAAACAACAAGCAAGAGCACCAGTTAAGTTGCATAAATTAAGTGATTCCTCCCCATTTGTTGTTTTCACTCTTCTGTTGTACACTTTGTGTCCACATCTGTGTGGTCACACAAGACAATCATCTTAAAGGGAAAACTGTAACATGTGACACATCACATGACCCCAAAAGCAGAGACATCAGGATCTGGAGGACCAAATAACATCTGGAAGGAACATCTGTCTTCTCTTTTCTGTGGAACATTAGGCTGTCTTCAATGAATGTACGACCCGATTAAAACAATATGAAATGGTTATATAATAAAAACAAAATCATATGATCTGAGAGGGTCACGTGATCTCTTTAAAACACCTGCAAAAAGTTTGAAATCAAGCTCTGAGTTTGGTCAAAGTTTGATAAATATAGTGAAGAGCTTCAAAGCTAACGGCTTCACACTTATTTCAAAGTACACTGACTTTTGTTTCACACAGGATGTTGAACACCTTCAGGGGCCATTTTTGTGGGGTTTTGATGCCATCTTTGTTTCCTTGTTTCCTCTTTAACATAATTTAAAAAAAAGAATATATAGATTTATATGAACAGCCTGTTTTCAGGCCCACTGAGGACTCAACGTCAGATACACGCTGCTGCTAAACAGACCTCTTAACAAACAGAAGAAACACCAGATCTGCCAGCTGAACTTGGGGAGGAGTTTGTTCCCCCAAAAGGCCGCTGCCCACCTTTCAGTGTGACGTGGACATTTTCTGGACACGTTTCTGCCTCTGTGACAAAACCCCCTGTTGTTTCCTGGCAGCGAGGACAGAAAAGAGCAGGGTTCACCTTACTCCGATCGCACGCGCACACACACACACACACACACACACACACATTCCTTCACGGTCAAATCGTGGTATTGTTGCACGAGATGTGATCCCCTCTCCTTCCCTCTCTGAGTCTGATCAAAGGGACCCAGTGCTGGGTGATCTAAGCACTTCGAGGGGGTTTACCCGTCTCACTTTCCCTCCCTCATCTCTCCCCTTTTTGCTAATCATTCTCCCTGTGAAGCAAGTGGGTAACAGGTAAAGCAAGACAGGTGAATAGAGCAGACCGTACCTAATGGACTCGGAGACCAGTGGACGACCACGGCGGCCTGGTCCTCGCAGGCCAGATGGCCGAAGGAGATGTTGGCCACCTCGTGGATCACGTGTTTCCCCAACGGGTAGTTTAAGGAGCAGTCTGCGGGAGTGAGAAAACAGCAACACGTTAGTTCATATTTCACAGCCTTGATGGGAGTTCTGGACACATGTAGAAGTCACATGACCCATCTCTATGGGGCACCAAATCTAAAACGTAGCTCAAGTTCAGAAGCTAGAACTTAGCTATATCTATCTCAATGCCCTCTTACTTAGCATAGATTGCATGAAGCGTATCAAAGGAGACCAGAACTGTCGGTTGTAGTAATCAGACTTGCAATAACGCTTGTTGTTTTAGGGTTATAAAATCAGAAAGCTGCAACAACTGGGATGCACAGCTGTTTGACATGTTCAATCTTTACTTGCTGCTTTACTCTTTACTTGCTATGGTATTCAGATGTTTCATCTCTCCTTTTGTTTCTGAGATAAAACATTGTCCTGTGACTTGTGACTCACCCTGTAAAACTACATTTATCCAGACTGACTCAGGAGGATATGGGAAAATTAACAACAGAGTGAAATTTAGAGAACAATTAATAGACCTACTTCATTACACCAAGTGAGCATTTCGACTAATACACATCCATATTTTCTCATGTTTGTCGTCACCACATGTCGTCAAGCAGACACTTTTCTTTTTTTATTTATTTATTTATTATTATTTTATTATTATTATTATTTTTTTTTATTTAAAAAAAAATAAATAAAAAAATAAATAAAATTAAATTAAAAATGAATAAAATAAAAAAAAGAATAAACTAAAATTTAAAAAAAAGCTGACACTTTTCTAACTTCAAGCTGCAAAGGAGGAAGATGGAGGGGCAGAGGAGGATGAAGAGCAGCCAGCCATGAAGTGAGAGGGATCGGTGGAGAAAAGATGGACTTAGCGGGCAGAAAGAAAAGGGGGCGTGAGTCAAAGACACGACTCACTGCTCCCCCTTCCCTCCTGCCAGCCCACCTATTGACGGAGGTGAGGAGGAGGAGGAGGCCGAAGACGGTGCAGAGGGGAGGAGCCCATAAAGGATGGATGTGACTGAGCGGAGGCTCGACACGAGTCACTGCTCCTCTTCCTCCGGCTTCATCATCATCGCCGGGGCAGAGTCATGTTCAGGGCTAAAGCCGAAGGTCACGGCTGGCTGCTCCTCTTCTTCCTCCTGCATCCTCTGTGAGCTGCATGAATGCGAGGAAGGAGTTTGTTCCTCTGCTTCCACCTTACCAAATCTTTGTCTTTAAAATTTATTTATGTGGGAGGATAAAGAGGAGCCAAAGTTCACTGCTGAATGAGGGGGAAAGGCTTTTTCTTAGGAGTTCCCTCCTCATCTCCAAGCCACCAGGAAACAAAACACAAACCAAAACGAGGCTTTCAATCAAGCTTTGATTTATATCATTTCAAAATGTAGGAAATCAGAGCCTTAAAAACTAACTAAGTGTTTTTTTATGAATGCCTTTACGTAAGCACATTCATGGACAGTCTTTATATTTTCAATCAGGTTTTTTTTCTCCATAAAAAGGCAACATTAAACTTTCCATTCCAGATTTTTCAGTAACCTGTAAAACCTGCTGAATCTAAAGCCTCAGGAGAACACCTGCGCTGTAGGCTGAACTCTTGTTTGGCCGCCGTGCAGAAAGCTGCTCATTAACCTGCCTCACTGTCACTATAATTTAGCCGGATGATATTTAGCCACTGCTGGTGGTTTTGAAGTGCTTTAATAAGTATCTTTAGCACACAGGATGAAGCGTAGGGACCATATTTACTGATAATATCCCAAAACTGTACGGATATCCACCCTAAAATGATTCTGATCTCGTCACCTGCCACCAGTAACTGACTGGGGGTCAAAGGTCACCCGGCTTTCTATTCCTCATGACATCACCGCAGACAGAGAAGACGCCTAACTCTCCTCCGTCCTGCAGAGGAACAGCCACTGAGGTGTGTCGTGCCTCGATTGTCATGCAAACAAGCTCGGGCACTTTAAAGCGCGGTGGTTTTATTTCCCTTCCCTTGGAAGCGGATGCATCCACACTTCAAAGTGGCATGACCTCCTGACCCCCGTATCAGTCCCTCCATAATGGGTGTTATAATCAGATTGAATAGAAATGAATAAGCTCTGCAGAGAAATAAAGACTCAGGAAGCAGAAACCAATCCATCTCCGTGCTGATAATCATAGTCAGTTTGGGAATGAGCAATAAAGAACAACACCAAAAAAAAAAAAGCTTAAATTAGCATGAACACTGCAAACATCTTTGTGTGTACTAACTTTTATCCAACATGCATAGACTGAAAACATCCACATTTCCTGGACTGAAGTCTATAAACTGAATATACTCGGAATCAGACAAAAATGTGAAATTACTAGAGAAATGAATGACTAATAAATGTGTTTATTCCAAAATAATTATTTGCGACTATATCAGCAAATATGTACTGTTCTGTGTTTAAAACTTAAACTGTAAACCAATTGCCTTTTTTCTCAATAGTAACCTGATTAAATCATTTACATCTCATGCAAGTCTCAGTACTTTAAAACCAAGTCATAAGGAAATTAATGACAGCAGAATACAGTAAAAAAATAAATAAATCTAACAAGATCCTTGAGTCAGGTGAAAATAATATTCTGTTTAAATATATGTTAATCAAAAAGTTTACAACACACGTTTGTGCTTTTTGTTCTTCGAAAATAAATTCTAATAAAACAATTTGCATTTTGTTGTAGGGCTTTGCAGAAACCTCCGACACACTTTGCACACACACTCACACACACACACAGTGACACACAAAGGGGATCTTAAAGTGCTTCCTCGCTCATGGTCACGGACAAAAGCAGGAGGCAGGGATTGGCCACGGCTCAGGAACTTGACTTTAGGAGTGAAAAGAACAAAGAAGAGGACAAGGAGGGGGAGGAGGAGGAGGAGGAAGAGGCTGATGTGGGGTTAGAGGAAAGTTTACGTGGTAGATTTTTTGTAAATAAAATGCTTTTTTGAAAAGAGGGCATAGAAAGACTAGACCTGGGTTCAATTTTAGAGGTTTCAGGGAACTAATCGGTGGACGAATTCCAATTCATTGCTCCGATCTTGAGTTGGAAAAACCTTGACTTATATAAGACTTTACATTTCTGTAGACTCCCATGCGTGGTGATAAAAAAAAACAGTTTTTGCAGATTTAGAGAAAAACTCACTGTCAGATTTGAAGGTGACGGCCAACCTGCGGCTTCCATCTGCACCAGACTGAACCTGAGAGAGGAAGAAAGAGAGAAGGTGTTGTCAGCATTCTGGCTAATGTTAGAACATTTATATTCAGAGTACAAAAAGCAGAAAACATGCTCAGATTTAAAAGCAAGTACTCATACATCACATCACAAAATTGATTCAGCAACAGGCCAGAAGAACATTTAACATTTTTTATAATGGTGGTTGTAGAATAACCAAGTATCGGCTCATTATCTAAAAGATCACTGAAAATCACAAAGTACCCATTTTCTTTTGGAGGTGTTTAAAAGAAAGATATAATATTTCATGCACAAACAATAGTCTTTTCAATAATATGTCAAAAAAAGAGATTTGAAGGCTTTTTCTTTCCATAAGTAACACCTTAAAATCAAGACTTTATTAGAGCAGAGTGACCGTTTCAAAATGCTTTGAATGACTATGAGTAGAAAAGTACCATTCCTTAATAGGCTTCATTTTCAGTCCCACTTTCGGACATCTAAGGCTGTCTGATTAAAAAAGGTGAAATAAGATGTGACTGCAGCAGGAATAACGTACAAAAGAACAAAAAGTTTGAACATTGAAGCATGTAGACGTCAGCTATATTACATTAATGGTTTGACTACAGGTCATTTTGGCTTGACCAACACATTCGGAGGCTTTTGAAAGGTTCTGGTTTGTTATGATCCCAAAAACAGAGTCAGTTAAACCTGCTGAGTGTCCTCCACTAAAGAGCAGCGAACCTAAGAGCATTCTGATGTCATTCCTCCTTAACACAAAGTCCAGACCAAACATCTGCCTTTAAAAGGTGACCATGCTTGCTAACAAACATTTAATTCAGCTAATTACCAGCAGTTTTGAATTAGTGACATAATTCCTGTGAAAGAAAAAGCTTGCACCAAAAAATGATCGAAGAGAATAAATCCAAATATGCTATAAATCAAAGATGTGTACATGGAATTGTGCCACATGTCTCTAAACATCAAGAGGAAGATCTGCTTTGTTGTTCGGGTTTAGGTGAACAAGTGAGGGAAGGGAAATCGAGCTTTACCCAAATAAAACTGTGAGCTGGTGATCAGATAATGTCAGGAGTGCAAATAGTAAAAAAAAAGAAAACTGTATGAGCCGTTTAAGGAACTGACACAACCTCACAATCCTTCCAGGGTCCGTCCATCAATAAAATGGAGGAACATTTAAGTCCTTTAATCTTATTGTCTCAAATTTGTGAAAATCCACTTCTGAACATAATGCATCTAAGATTTAAAAAATAAAAATAAAAAAAAGAGTTTTTGCTGATGGTCCCCAAGTTTATTCTCGGTACCAATTAGCTTGGAGGTAAATGCACAAATCTTTTTTTTTTCTCGATGATGTTGATAATAAATTTAGGGGCTTATGGGTACTGTGAAAAGCCAAGGTGTGAACACTTGGACTCCCCGGTGTTCACCATGTTTCAACTCTGGCCTCACTTTTTACAGCTTGCACTCTGTTTTCATGTTGCCTGACACGCATATTTCTCTCCGGCTTCGGGCTAGTTACAGAGGTGTCAGAGTGTGGTCACACGTAGAAACCTGCAACCACTCAGACAGACGCACAACTGAGAGTGTTTGTGTGTGTGTGTGTTGTGTGTGTGTGTGTGTGTTGTGTGAGGTGCGGCGTGCTTATTAGCCGACACTGTACCTCTGCAACCCATCCATACAAACACATACACACATGTTATCAATTATAAACTTGTGAAGTCCCTCATTGGCATACTCCATTCCCCGGCCTTTAAAACAAACATTAAAACAGGCCCTAAAAAAATCTCTGAACCATCAAACAGCCCTTTGAAGAAGGAAACACAAAAAATTTTCCCAAATCGCTCCTGGAAAAATGGAGCTACACACAAACACACACACACACACGCAGACACACTGAGTTTCATTTCTTTTGCTTTCTATGCATTTTGCCTTCAGTTTGCCTGCACTGCTGACCTTTGACCCTTGGGGGTGCACACACCGCTGTGCGCCCAGACGTCCTGCTGGCAGCATGAGCTGAGACGCTAATTAAAAATCAAGGGAAGTTATTCACACACACAGCACACAAAAAACAGCAAACTTCCTGATTTCTTACGTTTAGTAACATCCCCACCCCCCAAAGGGCCGCGACTAGTGGGGGTTTTCCACTGGTAACGACTCGGCCCAACTGGGCTCGGTTTTTATGTTGTTTTGCATCTCAAATCAGGTCCTAACGGCCTTTTGTTTGCGCCTAAAGCCAACGAATCAACGGATAAGCTGGACCTCGGTTATTAGGCATTTACAAATGACCAAATCAGACGTTTATTGTTGCTGTGATCTCATTCAGAAGTCATGTGACATCGCAGCCA